CTCCGCAAGGCCGTCCATCCGTCCGCCCGCCCTCCCGGCGCTCCTCTCCCCGGGCCCCGCCGCCCCGGCCGCGCGCGTCGTTTCCTCTGTCCCGGGCTCCTAGAGCCCGTCCCTCGCCCCTGGGCCGGCCGATACCGCTACGCGAGGCCGTGGATTGGCAACGGGCGTAGGCCGCGCCACCGCCGCCGGAGCCGGAATAAAGGGGCGACCGTAAGAGCAGCCGGTCGTCGCCCGCACGCTCTCCCCACCCCCGACCCCACGGGCAGCCTGGAGCAGGTGAGCGGAGGGGTTCCCCGAGGACGTAGCTGGGGACCACCCCCGCACCTTGCCGGTCCCCTTCCCCGCCGGGCCTGCTGCCCCTTCCACCTCCGGGGACGACCCGGTGGCCTCCTGAGCCCCTGCGCTGTCCTGGCCAGGCCTCGGCGCGCATCAGCTTCCTGGGCCCGGCCTGCAGCCCTGGGGCCTTCCTCGGAGGACCGCAGAGGGCCCCCCATCCCGATCGGGGTTGACAGGACACCGCACAGCTGGGCCCCGCGGGGAGGTGGTCATCTTGCAGTTTGGTTTCCTGAGGAAGGGGTGGGGTGGGACGCAGGTGCCCCTTACCCCTCCTCTCCTCTGCAGAAGTGATGGGGAGCCCTCCTACCCAGCGGGCGTGCACCTTGCTGTACGAGGAAGGCTAAGACCAGGGTGGTCAGTGGGACCGGGCACCTACGCGGAGGGTCCTTTGGCCTGGTGATCATTCATGCCCGAGAGAACATTGAATTGGCTCAGCAGGATCTTCGAAGTCTTTTGGAGCAGCCCAGCGGCCCCCTTTCCTGGGGAGACGTAGATAACTGAGTGGCACCCCCTTGCTCACACAACCCAAGCTTCCATCCAGAGCAGCAGTCCTTCTTCCTCCCTTCTGGGAAACTGCTGAGGAGGACGACTCTAAGCCTGACTCTTCGGATTCCTTGGCGTGCTGGTCTGTGAGACGTTCTCTGCCTTCCCTTCTCCTGAACAGAAAGCATAGAAACTTTTAAATATGAGAGGCAGATGAGTTTGGGAACCTGGGAATGGGTTGCAACTGACTTGAAAAGTTCCTCCCTCCTGCTGTCATTACCTTCTGCTGCCACAAAGTGGTGAGTTAGAGACTAGCTTGGGCTACATCGAAGTCACCTTCCATTAATTATCCAGAATGTTCAGCACTGGCGCAAGGGAAGAGAGGTGTCTTGGAAAAAGGTGATGAGGAGAAACCCCTGAGGTTAGCATCCTTCGTCCCATGCTGTAGAGACAAACCCGCACACTTGTTTGCACGTTCCTGCAGGCCTCGACACCATCAACTTGTTTTGCTGCGCTGGGAGGTGGAGTGGATATAGAGAGGAAGGTGAGGAGTCTGTGGGCCTGTCATCTAACCCCCATCACCAGGTTCCATGCCTGTTAGGTGGTCAGAGTGAATGACTCGGGCATAGCTGATGGTTTGGGTCAGCCCCTCACAGGAGCCTGTTTTTGAAAAGGCTCTGAGGTCCATATAGCTTGTTTTAAGTATTGACAATAAAAAGAGGCAGTTTGCTAAGAGGCCTGGTAAAGAGTGCTTTGCTGTGGTCCCCTGAACAGTGATGTCTTGAGTTAGGATTCAAGGCAACAAGGCAGAGGAGCTGGTAGGCGAGGGAGGCATCAAGCAAGCTGGTTTATCTGACTTTCATATTGGGCTGCCAAGCAAGAATTTATTTGCAAAAAGTTTATACTGCTAAAATGCTTTTATCTGGGCATCTTGGCGCATAGACCATGAGAAGAGTCTCAAGTATTCGAGGCTTTTTTTGTGTTGATAGCCAGTCACTCCAGGGACTGTGAGTTAGCTGATTAAGGAGGGTTGTCAGAGAGCTGGGGCGACACTTGGATGAAGGGGTCCCCAGGCTCAGGGATGGGGAACCAAGCGTGGATGGGAATGAAGAACTCTGCAGTCCCAGCCTAGGGGAGCTAGCCGTGTGAAGGTCATTTATGAAGGGGCAGGTCTTCTAGTCCTGAATGTCTCTGCCTTTGCAGAGCTGCTTTATGGCCATGTGATATGTATAGACAAGACGGGAGGAAGGCCCAGGTGAGGCTGGTCACGCTCCGACCTCATGCTCTCTATTTCTGTCTTCACAGACTTGATCATCAAGGAAGGCAGAGCCTGCCCGGCCTGTGGGGACCCTACTTGCGGAACCTCCTGCCCAACAAGCTGAGCCCTGTGACCCGACTTCTTGGACTGACCTGTCCCTCTGCTGTGCCTTGACTGACCTTTCTCTCTGAAGTGCTTGTCCATTTCTAAACGTGGACAGCTTTTCTCTGGTTCGTAAAGCCACCTTGAGTGGGGAAACTGAAGCCATTACTCTCCAAACCTTGTTTCATCTTCCCAAGCATGTCCGAAAACTGGCAGCAACCGCCACAGACACAGCCCCAGCAGCCTCCGCCTCCACAGCCCCAGCACCACGCCGAGCCACCACCGGCTCTGGCCGAGCACACGCTACCTACAGGGGCCGCTGAGAACCCCCTGGGCTGTGCCGTCTATGGCATCCTCCTGCAGCCCGACCCGGGCCTGCAGCCCCCACAGCATGTGCCCCTGCAGGCGGCAGGTGAGCCAGGCCCCAAGTGCGGGGTGTGTGGCCATGACTTGGCGCACCTGTCCAGCCCGCATGAGCACCAGTGCCTGGCGGGCCACGACCGCTCGTTCCAGTGCACGCAGTGCCTCAAGATCTTCCACCAGGCCACCGACCTGCTGGAGCACCAGTGTGTGCAGGCCGAGCAGAAGCCTTTTGTCTGCGGGGTCTGCAAGATGGGCTTCTCGCTGCTCACCTCGCTGGCCCAGCACCACAGCGCGCACAGCGGTGCGGGAGGCCTGGTGAAATGTTCCATCTGTGAGAAGACCTACAAGCCAGCCGAGGCGGCCGAGCCCGCAGCCGCTGCTGCCCCGTCACTGCCGCCCCCGCCCCCGGCACCCGCTGTCACTGTCACAGAGCAGCCCGAGAAGCCCTACAGCTGCCCCATCTGCCAGAAGCCCTTCAAGCACCTGTCGGAGCTCTCGCGGCACGAGCGCATCCACACGGGTGAGAAGCCCTACAAGTGCACGCTGTGCGACAAGAGCTTCAGCCAGTCCTCGCACCTGGTGCACCACAAGCGCACGCACAGCGCCGAGCGGCCCTACAAGTGCGCCGTCTGCGAGAAGACCTTCAAGCACCGCTCGCACCTCGTGCGCCACATGTACGCGCACTCTGGGGAGCACCACCTGTTCCGCTGCAACGTGTGCGAGCTGCACTTCAAGGAGTCTTCGGAGCTGCTGCAGCACCCCTGCACCCCGAGCGGCGAGCGGCCCTTCCGCTGCGGCGAGTGCCAGAAGGCGTTCAAGCGGCCGTCGGATCTGCGGCAGCACGAGCGCACGCACAGCGCCGAGCGGCCGTTCAAGTGCGACCTGTGCCCGATGGGCTTCAAGCAGCAGTACGCGCTCATGCGGCACCGGCGCACCCACAAGACAGAGGAGCCCTTCAAGTGCGGCCTGTGCGAGAAGGGCTTCGGGCAGCCCAGCCACCTGCTCTACCACCAGCACGTGCACACCCTCGAGACCCTCTTCAAGTGCCCCGTGTGTCAGAAGGGCTTCGACCAGTCGGCCGAGCTGCTGAGACACAAATGCCTGCCCGGCACCACCGAGCGGCCCTTCAAGTGCTCCGTGTGCAGCAAGGCCTACAAGCGGGCGTCAGCGCTGCAGAAGCACCAGCTGGCCCACTGCTCGGCCACTGAGAAGCCCCTGCGCTGCACGCTGTGCGAGCGCCGCTTCTTCTCCTCCTCCGAGTTCGTGCAGCACCGCTGTGACCCAGCCCGGGAGAAGCCACTCAAGTGCCTGGACTGCGAGAAGCGCTTTAAGTACGCGTCGGATCTGCAGCGGCACCGGCGGGTGCACACAGGCGAAAAGCCCTACAAGTGCCCCAGCTGCGACAAAGCCTTCAAGCAGCGGGAGCATCTCAACAAGCACCAGGGCGTGCACGCGCGCGAGCAGCAGTTCAAGTGCGTGTGGTGTGGCGAGCGCTTCCTGGACGTGGCCTTGCTCCAGGAGCACAGCGCGCAGCACAGCGCCGCCGCCGCAGAGGGCACCTACCAGGTGGCCACCTGTCTGCCCTGACCCGGTACCGTGGGCTCCCCCCAGGCCCAGCCTCCCGCCCAGCTTGGTGTTCCGGGGCGTGAGAGCGGAGGACAGTGGCAGGAGGAGGGGTGGTGGTTGGTTGCCCTGCACTCCTGGCACCGGCCTGGCAAGGCAGACAGCTAGGTTGCTGTGGCTGGCCCTGATTCTACTAGTCTTTTCCCTAAGACGGGATTTGGTTTCTTAGACTGAGAGTCAGGCTAGAAGTCAGGCTCTCCCCACCCAGAGAGGGGCTGAAGCCAGTGAAATCTGCTCGCGCCCTTCTGGTCTAGAAGGCAGATAGGTTAGGGAAAGGGGTTGACCGCCTCAGAGCCTGGAGGAGGGCCTGGACCTCAGTGATCTGTGAGATGTAGGGAAAAATCTAAGACCAAACCTATTGCCATCAAGTGGCCTCATGGGGACCTACGCCACGTGCCACCAAGTAGATAGAAAGGCTTGTGGAATTCCCTGGCTGTCATCTCTGTGGCAGCAGGTCACCCGGCCTTGCCTCCATCTCTGGCACCACTGAGTGGGTTTGAAATTCCAACCTTTGGATTAAATGTCAAATGCATACCATTTGCCAGGGATCTTGGTGGCCTAGTGGGCAGAGTCATGCTGCCAGCCCAAAGGCAGGCAGGTTCGAATCCACCAGTTGCTTCAGGGGAGAAAGATGAACTGTCTTCTCCCACGCGCTTTCCAGTCTGAAAACCTGTTGGAGGGGCAGCTGTGAGTCAGTGCTGACTCTACAACAGTGAGTTGAGTTGAGAGGGATCTTGGAGGTAGAGAATCCTCCATAAATTCTGCCAGATTTGTGATACTGTGGAGAGCAGTTGATGGTTTTTGGTCTGCTCCCACCAGGAACGCCTGCGTTGACCAGGCATGTGCTGGGCACGATGTGCAGTCTGAGGTCTTAGGAAGTAGCCAGCTCGGCCAGATGGGGGGCCAGAGAAGTCCTCTGACGCCCTCCGCTGGGAACAGTGTTGTCTGAGGGAAAGGAGCAAAGGCCGTCTCTTTGCTGAGGGCTGATTTGGCTGTTTTCACAGCATCTTCATGCTGTTGCAGGCTGTGTGCTGACAGCTGAACAGAACTGGTGTGTGAGGAGGTGACTGTTAGCTCACTGGAGCTGGGAGGGAGCAGAGCCAAGCCTGGGATCTCCCATAGATAACACCCGAATGTCCTCCCCCTGAATGATGTGAACGGAAACATCACGGGTGTGGCTGGGACAAGCACCAGACCCCACATGTTCTCCCAGCCTGTGCAAATTTCCCCTGCAGCCCATCAGTTTGGATGCTGGCCAGAACAACATATAGCTACTTCTAAGGCCAGAGTCTTCTCCTCTGGATCCTTCTAGAGTCCTCCAGGGCTTCTGGCTGCCTATTGGGCTCAAGAAGCCTCAGGTGTCTAGGGCTTAGGGAATGGGTGGGGAATGTGGGTTGTTAAAATAGAAGTAGGTGACGTGCTTGGTGAGTGGTTGGAATTACCTGCCTTCACCGGAGGCACCTCCTTGGGAATCTCAGAAAGCCCAAAATCAAATCTGTTGTCATCGAGCAGATTCTGACTCGTGATGACCCCATATGTTACAGAGTAAAGCTGCTCTATAATCTCTGATCTGTATGGAAGAAGATTGCCAGGCCTTTCTTCCACAGCACTTCTGGGTGGGGGTGGGTTTGAACTGCCAAATCTTTCAGTTAGTCAGTTGCAAACCTTTTAATACTGTATAGGCATCTTTGGGAAGCCCCAAGGGGCCTTTATTATCCAGGTAATTCTTTTGAATCCAGCTCTGTTCCCTGCCCTCCCCAGCCCCACCTGGTCAGCGGTCCTGACAGATGACTCATCAGTGCATCAAGGGTCCTGAGGAGGAGGGCGATGCCGCTTTGCCTCATTCTCACCTTAGGGAGGAAAGCGTGCCTGCCTCCTCTGTCCTCCCAAGTCCCCCCTCCTGTGCTCACCGAGGCAAAGCCTCGCCTTCTGACATTGGCTTTTGGTTACAAAGCCTCAAAATACGTTGGACGTAGGCCTACAGAAATCCCAACTGCTAATTGGTTTCTTTTCATTTTGCTTTCTAAAAGCATTTTGTTATACTGTTCATGACATTGTATAGTTAACTTCATGTCCCTTTTGGATCTTATATAAAAATTGAGGATTTGGATTTTTAAAAAGAATGACTCCATTTTAGGTAGCCACTTTTGATGTTAATATATAGTGAGTCCAATGTATGCTTTAGAAGTAAAGATACTGACCATCACACACAAGCTGTCCTTGTTCTGGTCATTCTTCCACGGGGGAATGTGCCACAGAAGATAGACTGAGGTGCTCCGGTCGGGGCTCCAGGCTCGGTGGGGACCTATTGCTACGTTCCAATCTGGGCGCCATCTGCGGTGGCCATGACCCTTGGGCAAGTTACGTAACCTCCTCGAGACTCAGTGGTCTGATCTGTAAAATGGAAGGTTGACCCTTGCTTGCTTGATTGTTGTGGGCGGTTGCATCACAGCATTAGGCCTTCAGCTTCTTGACCTCTTTGGATTTAACTGCTGGCTCTGTGAAGGCAACTAGACCTGAGACAGTGGCTGTCGGAGGGCCAGAAGCTGGGGCCTTTGAACGTGGGAGGCAAGAGCTTGCTGGGCTTCTCGGTGCCGATGGGAAACTGAAGGACCTCCGGTCTCAGGCAGCCGCTTCCTGCCGAGGGTCCTCCCTCCCCACACCCTGCTCCATCTGCTGTCCAGTCCAGCTCTCCTCGCCTCAGACCCATCATCACTTCTCTTTGTACTCTCACCCCTGCCCCCAGTGGGCATCTGCACCCTTCCATTTTTCAAAGACAAAGATAAGGAGAGAGAGAGAGAAACATCCTTAGTGTCTATCGGACAGTGGAGAGAGTTCAGCAAGACAGCTTGCCATGGGGAGAGAATGGAAGGGGGCTGCTTAGGACATGGGGAGGCCCAGGGTGTAAGAACTGGTACAGAAGACTTGGCTGGGGGGCTCCATTTGTGAGAGACCCCACACTCCATCCCGCTGGGTGGCCATAGCAGGAGTCCACCCTCCAGGGATCATGTCGTTTCTTTCCACGGGGGCATCCTCTGCAGTCTACGGCTTAGTGAGAGGATGCCCAGGGCCTCCCTCCTGCAGCTGTGCCAGGTTCTGCCCTCCCCAGCTTAATGTTTGGCTGGATGAACTCCACTCACCTGGCAGAGATGCCAGAAAGCACTGGCATGAATGTGCAAAGAAAGGTCTCCGTGAGCAGGCAAGGGTTCGCGTGTGCCAGGAATGCAGGAGCCTGGCTGGGTGTTCATGAGCCCACGTGGAGCCTGCGATGGCTTTTCTGTCTCTGTCCCTCCCCTACACCACCACAAAGCCGTGGGGCTCCCCTGACATCCAGCCTGGCCCTCAGCCACGGTGGTGGGCAGAGCCTCGTCCTGGGAGGCCGGAGCGTCGGTTTCCCATCTCAAGTATGAGTGTTGACCTCTGAGCTCTTAGGGCCTACAGCCGCTGGTTCTGATTCTAGGAAGGTGACAGGATCGGCCTGTGTCCCCTGTCCCTCCGGGCCTCCAGCCTGTTTCCCACCAGCGTCTCAGTCTGCTTTCTCTTCGTTGCTGGTGGTAAGAACAGGTAGGTACACACTGGTGTATTGCACTCGGCCACACACTCCCAGGCACCTCCGCCCCCCACCTGTTGAGGAATAACCTGTGTAATGTTCCTGTGCCACACTTCTGAGGACAGTCTCCCTCCCTGAGCAGAGTGTTCTAACAGGGAGCTCAGGGGCTGTGATGGAGCACACACCAATACTGTTTTCCTCAATCTCCAGTGGGTCAGTCCCCTTGTCTACACACTGACAGGACAAGGCAGAATGGTACCTGGCATGAGCGGTGACAGCTGGACGAGGGCCAGAGCCGGATGGAGGGAAAAGGGAGAGTCTGACCTAGACTTGATATTCTAGAGTTAGGTAAAGAAGGGGCCACACCAGAGGCCCGTTTTCCCAGTCCTGGAGGTCAGTGCCAGGCCAGGCGGTGTGGTGTAAATCTAGCCTGATGGGATTGTCAGACCTCTTCGTCTGACTTCACAAAGTGGAGGTGAAGAAATCAAATTCAGCACCTGCAGCCCAAGGCTGATCCCTTTCTGCAAGCTTTTCCTGATTCTGAGACCAGCCATCCTTCCCACGACACGCTCTGCTTCCCTGCGGGGTGTCATCATTTTGCTGTGATGGACACATAGAATACACCATCTGAGCCTGGGGTTTATTAAAGAAGCAACAGGTTATAACGCGGAATCAGGATCAGGAAGCATGTCAGCAGCAGGACAGGTCTCTCAGCTCCTCTCAGCCACCCAGGCCTCCTCTCTTGGCCCCTGTTCTGCTCAGGCAGGTGTCAGAAAGCTCTTTAGCCCCAGTGATGAGGGCCGAGAGGCACCCCACTCCACCAGGAGGCCTCCTGCCCTAAGACACTCAGTTGGCTTGGTGAGTCAGCACACCCACTGTGACCACCTTGCTCTGGTCTCCCCGGTTCTGCCATTGCTCTCTGCCATTTATGGTGTTAGTTAGAGCTGTCTCCTGGGTCGAGGAGTTTCTCAGGGCAGAAACCCCGTGGCTAATAGATGCCCAGCCCTCCTGACTCATCCCTTGGTGGTCACGAAAGCCTCCTCTCAGCCCAGTAAAATGGCAAAACGATGGATCTTTTAAGGCTTCCACACACCTTATCTACATGGTCCCACCCTGCAAGGGTTCCATGTACCTTATTTGCATAATTAGCAGGCTGTCCAATTCTCTTGGTGGGCCACAAGCACCTTATTTGCGTGGTCCCAGCCAGTCACTGTGGGAGCCACAAAGACTGCATGTGGCTAGCCTTCTACATTAAGTCATTCGCCGCACTGCAGCTGATCATAGAGCTTTCTCAGCGAGTCCTCCATTAACTAGCCGATTTCTGGTCTTTTAACCGAAAAATCAATCTGAGCCTTTGGCATTTCAGCAATGTGGGCTGCTTCTTGGTCCTTGGGAGCACTTCTACCAGATACTCAGAAT